TTTTTTTTTTTTTTTTTTTTTTTTTTTTTTTTTTTTTTTTTTTTTTTTTTTTTTTTTTTTTTTTTTTGTTGTTGTTTTTTTTTAGTTCGGTTTTGGTTTTTGAATTGGGTTTCATTTTAACAGTTCATTGAAGTTCCATTTGAATCTTATTTGATACCTTATTTTTGTGTAGATACTAGGAACTGGAATGGACACTCAAGATACGTCGCCTTCGGTCTTGCTTTTCTTCGATAAACAGAGATTTATTTTTAATGCTGGAGAGGTACTAGGGTCTGTTAATTTCTCTACCCAATGGGCACATGCTATAGTTTTCTTCGTATTTTTTCAGAGAACTGATGCGTTTCGTACCGTGTTCTAACTTCAAACTTGTCACGTCTGCTAAACAATGAACTCCTTCACTGCCTTCTTTAGTTTTTCCTGATCGTTAAACGATTTGAATGATGTTCATGAGATTATTCTCATCAAAGTTACAGTAGTCACGCTTACATTACGTTTGTATTTGACTCCAGAGATCTATTGTCTCTATTGGGTACACCCTTTCTTCTCCTCCCTCAGCCTGACTTCGCCCTTTCTCTCTATTTTCTTGCAATGCTGGCTGTTCACCTTTAGTTAGAAGTAGAAGTTTAGTTAGAAGTAGAAGTAGAAGGCGCCCTTTGCCTCACAATGAAGAAAAAGTACATAACGGGGGGACTTGTGAGAGTCGTGAGTGAGAAAGAAAAACTTGGTTACGGGAACCGAAGGTTAGGCTGATTTGAAGCTAGACCTAAAAAAGTTGATTCCTACCTCTTCCTGTCAATGTTAGCTAAATAGTTATTGTTTTATGGTTATTCATTTTACATCATTGGGTACTATGTATTTTGAGACTTCCTGTTGATCTGTTAAAACATTCTGTCATTGACACTATAGGGGTTGCAACGATTCTGCACGGAACATAAGATTAAGTTATCGAAGGTATTCTATTCTAAAAAGTTTATCCTTTCTCTTGAATTTCAGGTTTACTCTTCTCTTAACTGATTCTGAACCTTGGTAATTTATCTGCTCTTCCTCTAGATAGATCACATATTCCTTTCGCGCGTCTGTTCAGAGACTGCTGGTGGACTTCCTGGTGCGTCTCTTGGTTGATTGGATATGGTTATGATGTCGGACTTTTTTCGAATAGCTTTTGTGATTCTATTGGATTATTTACTATTGAAGATCACATTACTAAGTTTGAATTTGAGACATTACCATTCCTTGCATATATGAGTTAGACAGCCTAAGCTTTATAATTTAACTTGCAGGATTGCTGCTGACTCTAGCTGGCATTGGAGAAGCCGGAATGTCTGTGAGTATAAGATTTACTTAATACACTATCAAAATGTTCTAGTCTAAATATTTTTAAATGAACAAACTGTTTTGTTTGTTCTAACTTATACTGTAGTTGCTATTCATATGAAGGTCAATGTCTGGGGTCCTTCTGATTTGAAGTATTTAGTCGATGCAATGAAATCTTTCATACCAAATGCTGCCATGGTTCACACACGGAGCTTTGGACCTGCACTTAGTTCTGACATAGATGCAGCCCATGAATTGAGTAAGTTTTGTGATCCCATTGTCCTTGTTGATGATGAGGTGGTCAAGATATCAGCAATTTTGGTACATCCAAGTTCAAATAGAGGGTTCCAGCCCTTCAATGAGGATGACATGGGCCAATCGAACAGGAGTCAAGAAGAGAGAAGAAACCATGATTCTGAAGCTAGAAGTTCAACAAGCAAATCTTCATCTGCAGTAAAGCCAGGTGACATGTCTGTAGTGTATGTATGTGAACTTCCTGAAATTAAGGGGAAGTTTGATCCATCAAAAGCAGCTTCTTTTGGTCTTAAACCCGGGCCAAAATATCGCGAATTACAACTTGGAAATTCAGTGATGTCAGATCGCCAAAATATCATGGTAGGATTAGTAGCTATGCCCCTTTACTGCTATAACGTATCAAATGCTGTGTATTAATCCATTGGCTTCAATTGGCTTAGGTTCATCCAAGTGATGTCCTTGGCCCCTCAGTTCCTGGTCCAGTTGTGTTACTTGTTGATTGTCCAACAGAAGCTCATGTGTTAGAGTTAATGTCCTTGCAATCTCTGAAAACTTACTATGAAGACTTGAGCGATCAGGCTGAAACTGGTAAGGTGGTAACATGTGTTATTCATCTAAGTCCTACATCCATCCTTGGTAGTCCTAATTACCAGAAATGGGTGAAAAGATTTGGGTCATCCCAGCACATCATGGCCGGGCACGATAGGTGAGTCTCTTTTCTCCTAACATGGGTCTGCAGCTCTTGCTTGCAGATGTAGAAAATTCCCAGTTTCACATGATTTTTCTGCAGGAAGAACGTTTCAATTCCAATTCTAAAATCCAGCGCAAAAATTGCTGCAAGGCTTAATCATTTGTGCCCTCAGTTATTTCCAGCCCCAGGCTTTTGGTCCCCTCAGCAGCTTACTTTACCAGGATCAGATTCCTGTGCTTCAACTGAGGTTTGTCACAATGTCTTTGGTGGTTTTAGAGTTTCTCTAGCTGTAAACTAACTTCCCCGTTGACCTTCCTTCACCAGATCGAAGTTTCAGATCATTACAAAAGCACATTAGCTGAAAATCTTCTTAAGGTATGAGACGATGGATTAACTAAGTGTGTTGTGTTTACTATTGACTGGAGCCAGATTAAACATGTGTGCTTGTAGTCAAGGTCCCATCAACACTGACACTGTAGCAGTAGTAGAGCGAAACACTATATATTACATAAAGTTAGTAGACCATTGAAGAGAAATTTTTTTCATTGGATGTTTGTTAGCAAATTCATAATATGCATCGACAATTCAGAAGGTCTGTTAAGTGGTAAAATGACAATTTGATAAGAAACCACAGTTGGTTCTTTAGGTTGACATATATAAGATATGCTTGCCGTCCATGGACTTATACTTTGTTTCTTGTCCTTCATCCACTCATGCATGGTGATTCTGGTGTGCTGTGTGTCTGAATGTTGGATGACAGGATTTTCGACTTAGTGATACAACTTCTTTAACATTAATGTCGATTGTGAAACAGTTTACTTTGCCGCCCCTATCCTTTTTTTCTTGTCCTTCATCCACTCGTTATGCATAGTGATTCTGGTGTGCTGTGTGTCTGAATGTTGGGCGACAAGATTTTCGACTTGGTGATACAACTTCTTTAACATTAATGTTGATTATGAAACAGTTTACTCTGCGCCCCTATGCGCAACTTGGATTCGATCGATCTAGTATTCCTAGTCAGGAATCTCTGTCAGAGGTTATTAATGGGCTGCATTCTGACATACCAGAAATTTTGGATGCTGTTCATCATGTTACTCAGCTTTGGAGTGGTTCTGCTGGAACAGATACGAATATTCATGTTGAAGATTCCCATACAATGGTTGAAGAGCCATGGTTCAATGAGAATAATATTCCAAGTTGTCTGGAAAATATTCGGAGAGATGACTTGGAAATTGTTCTTCTTGGTACAGGGTCGTCCCAGCCATCCAAGTACAGAAATGTAAGTTCTATTTACATTAATCTTTTCTCGAAAGGAAGTATGCTCCTAGATTGCGGTGAAGGAACGTTGGGTCAGCTTAAAAGAAGGTAATTGTCATTGCGCTTTCTTCAGGTTCGTTTCGCGTAATTCAATTTCAGTTCCTTCTAACATGTAGCCATTGTTACAAATTAATTTACAGATACGGAATTGAGGGTGCTGATGCTGCGGTGAGGGGCCTAAGATGTATTTGGATTTCTCACATCCATGCAGACCATCACACAGGACTGACCAGAATACTAGCTTTACGGAGGGATCTGTTGCGGGAAGTTCCCCACGAACCTGTACTAGTAATCGGGCCAAGACAGCTTAAGAGATATTTGGATGCATACCAAATATTAGAAGATTTAGATATGCAGTTCCTTGATTGTAAGTACACAACACAAGCTTCATTAGAAGCTTTTCAGAAAGTTGCAACAGAAATTGATAATTCACCCTTAGAAGGTCCCATCAGTTCCACAGACGGAAACAACATAGATGGAGGCAAGAAAACCATGTCGAGTTTATTCGTTAGGGGATCCCGTATGCAGAGCTACCGGAAGGGGCCTAGTAGTCCAATTGATATCAATGCAGCCATGCCACTTCTTAAAAACATGAATAAAGTTCTGAATGAAGCTGGTCTGGAAGCTTTAATCAGCTTCCCAGTTGTGCACTGTCCACAGTCTTATGGTGTAATCTTAAAGGCGGCTGAAAGGGTTAACTTAGATGGAAAAGTGATTCCTGGGTGGAAGATCGTTTACTCAGGGGACACTCGGCCCTGTCCCGAGCTGATGGAAGCATCTCGTGGTGCAACGGTTCTTATACACGAGGCAAGTTTTAGAACAGCTGGCATTGAAATTTTGCTATATTTACAGTAATTACTTTCTATTTGTTCCTTTTTCATCCTCATTCTAGCAGATATATGGTGCTGTTATCAAATCTTTCTGCAAGAACATGGTAAGAGGACGGAATAACACCTTATAACAAGTTTTTATGGTCTTGTTACAGGCCACTTTTGAGGACAGCTTGATGGATGAGGCCGTGGCTAAAAACCACAGCACAACTTCGGAAGCTGTAGACATCGGGAACTCGGCCGGAGCGTATCGAATTGTCCTTACACACTTCAGTCAAAGATACCCTAAAATTCCAGTGATCGAAGAGAGACACATGCACAAAACCTGCATTGCATTTGACTTGATGAGTGTTAATGTTGCAGATTTGTTAGTACTACCTAAGGTTCTTCCCTACTTGAAACTCCTTTTCAGAAATGAGATGATGGTAGACGAATCTGATGATATTGTCACTTTGGAGGCTTAAGACAGTTAGGAGGTAACATTTAGTTTTCCTGATCCATTGTTTTGAAGATCAATATTTAGTTGTAATTTAAGTCACTGTTTTTGCTCATGGAATGCGCCAAATATAGTTGAAACGCAACCACCTGCAACTTTGTTCATTAATCAAATAGAAAAAACTGTTGAAAAGTTACTCTCAATATTGAAAAATTGATAAGAACATATGAGATGTACGCAAGGAGTTAAAGAGGCACTGTTATGAAGGACAATACATTAAGAAAAATCACATTTCCTTCCTTCAAAGCGTGTTATAGAAGGGTTGGTTGATGATATAACTTGAACAAGTGAGTAAACGGTTCTGTGGCCGAACAATTTTTAGACTTATTCCAATTTATCACTAGAGAGACTGGCCTGGCTCGAAGTCCCAAATCCCAGTTCCGTCATGTCTTGTTTTGCCATTAAATTTCTGCAAGAATCCAATGAAATGACGTGAAATACTCATACAGCTGAGCTACTTAAAAAAAATGTTGAAACAAATCCACCAATTTTCAGAGCATTTGATTAGGAGTCAAAACAAAGCGGTGCAAATTTTCTGAGAATCAATTATTGTAACTCAAAATAATTCAGGTGGCAGTGAAGGAAAAGAAATGAAACATAGTGGAACTATAACTCAAAGAGGAAGAAGAGAGCCATCATACAAGAGAAAGTAAAGGCCGAATTAGCTTGATTCCAATCCAGTTACCTTCTCATTTGCACTTGACAAATGTATCCGAAGTTCAAACCGAAATCATAAAAGAGATCGTCTCCAAACCCATTTGCTTAATGAAAGAAATGTATCCCAAGTTCAAACTGAAATCATAAACCGAAATCAATGGGCATAATATTACTTCAACTGGTTCTAAAGCATTTGCAATTTCCTAAATCCGTTTAACTTACCCTGAGGGACTATAAAGCGAGGGAGGGTGTAGAATTGGTTAGAAAAGAAAGGAAAGGTCCATTCCAAGTTTTCAGGGCATATGAAGTTAGTAGGTACATAACCGAGCTAGAGAAAGAAGGGAAAGTTGGCATTTTTAGTTAGGAATTTGGTCAGCTGACGCTCTAGAAACTGCAGGCCTCCAAAAAGCTTGATTTTTGTGTTTATGATGGCCACCCTAATTCCTTTACTAGGGACTATTAGCATAATTTATTTTGAAAAGATAAAAACTTTTAAATACTTGACCATGCACCACCATGAAGGATGACTAATACAATTATAATAAACAACCCAGGTTCTCGCAAACAAAAAGTTTATGAATCTTAAATAAGAAAGCAAAGCTACTTTTGTTATACAAAAGATGATATAAAAAGTCAAGAATCTTACTTTTCCATACGACATTCAAGGTATTTTTTCGATAAGTGCCTGCATTTTTCAGATTGGTGACCAGAGGTTTTAAGACAATTGAGGTATTCTTTCTTCTCCTGCAATAAAGCCCATGCATCATAAAACAAGAAATGAACACAAAGATTCCTTGAAAAAATATTCCAAAAAGGAAATACTTGGTCGCAGAGGTGCATATGATCCAAAGGGAAGACTCCTTTCTCTGGGGGTACCGGTCTCAATCCTCTATTCCCTCCAAATGAACCACCTGCAAAGGATCACTAAAGATCTCACGAAATCAAATTAGCTGAAAAAGAAACCATACCATTCTATGTGACGTTCTTTTTAAGCAAATATAAACCGGTTCTCTTCTTTTGCACCACCAAAGCATTCTAAGGTTTTAATTATGACTTTTCTTGGTACAGTCCCTCCCCCCGAACACAAATTTATTGGTACTAAGCAGCCATCCTTGTCTCTTTTATGGCCCGACGTTCCTGTTCGAGCCTCAACAAAGTCATCACAGGCTCTAATGAGTTGGATGCTTCACCATATTTAAATCATTTGAGGTAATAGAATAATTCGTTGTTAGAAATCACAAATCTTCACAATGGTACGATATTGTCCACTTTGAGCATAGACTCTCGTGGTCTTTACTTATAAACTCATGATCTTCCTCTTAATTGACCAGCGCGGGACTACTCTTAATAAATCCTCAACAAAAGTGTCATTTGATATCCTCAACAAAAGTGTCATTTATATATCCTCAACAAAAGTGTCATCACAAAGATAAGCTAACTAGTTTTTCCGGGTTCACTCGTTCCAAGTAATATGCATCACTCACAAAGCAAAACGTAATGTGCACATAAGAATCAATTTTAACCAGCTCTTTGTTCCTTTGCAGATCATAAAACTTACAATAAGATATTAGATGCAAATGATGGCAATCACTGCCTGAGAAACAAGAACTAAATCGAACATGTTTAAGAAACTGACAACTTTCTACAGGATTGGTGGTACGCGAAAAAACTTGCATCTTCTTTTTCAATGCATTCTCTATAGTCAGCAAGTAATTCAAAAGTCATTCTACATTGAAGAATATGCTCTATTAATAGACATGTAAAACACCACCATCATCCCACCTAACTTCGAAGTTTTAATGTTCAAAGTTCCACCCATCTGATAGGTAGAACACACCGGAATGAAAAGGATGCAATAGCAAGCTCCCCATCACACAAATTGCTGAAGAACCATTCATAGGATTCAATCAATTGATGAAACTCCTTAATTAGAAGTGAAATTCTGCAAATCTTTTCATTTTCCAAATGAGTTCGAGGTCCAAAAAAGGCTAAAACACGAGCTCTTTGAACATTCGGTCACTTACACGAACCTTATGAATTTAACAGCAAGAATCGAGATCCTACTCCCTCAACCATTCGAATCCTCTCCTCGCAATTAACATAAATTCAACTGAAAAAGAAAAGAAAAAGGAAAACATGTTTATGTTTGTAACCATCGGGATTCGTAGAGTACCTGCACTCATTGTGGAAATTCCTGAAAGCTCGATATAGAAATTTTCATCAGAATCATACGGACCGCCAAGTCGCGAACTAGCTCGATTGACCGTCGCCGGTGATATGCTAGTGGATCGAGATAAACTACCCTGAAGCCAGCCGGAAAAGAATCACAGACGAAATTTCTGTAGCTGCATGACATGAAAAAGTCCAGGCCAATTCCACAATTTGCTAATTCGGCCCAGATTAATACCTGGGCCAACGCCGGGGATTTGGCAAACCCCAACCGAAAAAGTCCAGCCCAATTCCAATTTGCTAATTCAGCCCAGATTAATAGCTGGGCCGACGCCCGGATTTAGAAAAGCCCAACCGAAAGAGTCCAGTTCAATTCCAAAATTTGCTAATTCGGCCCAGATTAATAAAAGGGCCAACGCCAGGATTTGGAAAAGCCCAATTCCAAAATTTGCTAATTCGGCCCAGATAAACAACTGGGCCGACGCCGGGGATTTTGCAAGGCTCAACTGAAAAAGTCCAGCCCAATTCCACAATTGGCTAATTCGGCCCAGATTGATAACTGGGCCGATGCCGGGGATTTTTCAAGGCCCAATCGAAAAAGTCCAGCCCAATTTCATAATTTGCTAATTCGGCCCATATTAATAACTGGGCCGACGCCGGGGATTTTTCAAGGACCAACCGAAAAATCCAATTGCACAATTTGCTAATTCGGCCCAGTAATAACTGGGCTGACGCCAGGGATTTTTCAAGGCCCAACCGAAAAGTCCAGCCCAATTCCAATTTGCTACTTCGACCCAGATTAATTACTGGGCCGTCACCGGGATTTGGAAAAGCCCAACCGAAAAAGTCCAGCCCAATTCCACAATTAGCTAATTCGGTCCAGATTAATAAATGGGCCGCCGCCAGGAATATGGCAAAGCCCAACCGAAAAAGTCTAGCCCAATTCCACAATTTGCTAATTTGGCCCAGATTAATAGCTGGGCCAACCCTGGGAATTTGATAAAGCCCAACCGAAAAAGTCCAGCCCAATTCCACAATTAGCTAATTCGGTCCAGATTAATAAATGGGCCGCCGCCAGGAATATGGCAAAGCCCAACCGAAAAAGTCTAGCCCAATTCCACAATTTGCAAATGGGCCGCCGCCAGGAATATGGCAAAGCCCAACCGAAAAAGTCTAGCCCAATTCCACAATTTGCTAATTTGGCCCAGATTAATAGCTGGGCCAACCCTGGGAATTTGATAAAGCCCAACTCCACAATTTGCTAATTTGGCCCAGATTAATAGCTGGGCCAACCCTGGGAATTTGATAAAGCCCAACAAAAAGGTCCAGCCCAATTTCACAATTTGCTAATTCGGCCCGGATTATTAACTGGGCCGACGCCGTGATTTGGCAAGGCCCAACAGAAAAAGTCCAACCCAATTCCACAATTGGATAATTAGGCCCATATTAATAACTGGCCCGCCGGGTATTGGCAAAGCCCAACCGAAAAAGTCCAGCCCAATTCAACAATTTGCTTATTAAATAATATTAGTAAATAAATACAATTACAAACTTGTACATGGTTTAAAATTCTTAACAAATTTTATTAAAATAGTTTATTTTTTCATAAGGTAATTACAATGGATAATGATCTAAAATTAAACTATTTCATACACAAATATAGTTATCTAATTTCTTAGCTTATTTTCGAGCATTTTAAACTATATATATATATAGAGGTAGAAAGTCTATAGGTCGTGAATTTCTTTTCATGAATAAATAAGTAACGACAGTATTTGAGAAATAAGCTTAACTCTATGCCAGTAAACGCAGTAACACAAAGGATAAAAGGATAAAGGTATTATGTGGAATGATTTGGCATAAAATGTATGTAGGTGTCTTTTTTAAGTCCGTCGTCAAATCTTAGGGCTCAACCCTAAAGAGACAGTTTGGTAGGGGTAGAAGGAATTTTTGGTGGACCAGTGAAATGCATAGAGATCGAAAAAAACACTAACGGCAAAATCACTCTGCTGGGGCCAACACTGATACTAGGAGACAGAAAGCCGAAAGAATGAATTGGATTAGATAGATACTAATCGCTCTGCATATAAGCCCGTATAAATATATCACAGCCACAAGTTGATATTCACTTTCTAATGTGAATTACTTGTAGTAGGATTGAGAGGGGTTATAGTGAAAGGTAGGTATACTTCATTGAGTATGGAATCAGTTTACATCTGTCAGTTGTAAACAACCGCGGAAGTACATAGAAAAGAATGTACAATTTGATTCTGTAAATCGTATGGAAGTTAATACCTGGCCTAGCAAAAGGGATTTGCTGTCAACATTTTATATAAACTGTCAACTGGTGTAACCTCTTTGAAGGGGAAAGAAAAGGAATGTCATGTCTCATCTGCAGGCGAAGATCCAACTTTTGCTGGGTTTGGCATGGATTGATTGTTGGCATTATACGCACGAGGATGCTGAATAATCACGATGAACGAATCCTTAGAACCTTCGTTACGAGACAGCGAGGTTGGCTGTGTTGCACAGACAAATTGTCAAAATGTATTGTAGGAGCAACATGTTTTTTCAAACATCAAAATGGGTATGAGATAACATGACATTACTAATTCAAAGAACTTACCACGCCAATGTGCCAATTATGAGTGCTAACCTCTCTAAAAGTTGCTGCATCCACTTCCTGTAATCCTTGCGGCATTAGTAAATGCAGAAACCCCTTCTAACTTCTAACTACGAATAAAATCGAGAGGAGCCCGAACCGAACCAAACCAAACAAAAACCGATTCTAGTGTCAAATTTAAAATTACGTCTAAAGGCTTAATTTAATCCCTTCAACTAGTTAGGTGAGAAAAAGGATTTCTGTATTCATTGCATTTATGCTGGTTTTCTAAGTTAAACTCAACCTCGACGCGTATGATTCCAACCTATACTACTTTCCCAGTAAGGAACAAAATAACTTACAATGCTATAAATAGGAGGCACAATCCTACTATTTTCGGACTTAACAGTTGGCATAACAGAGAAACGAGGAGCCATGTCTTGTGACCTAAAGATCCACCTGCATATAGAGAGGAAAAAAACTAATAACCTTACCTCATATTTCTCTCTCTCTCTCTCTCTCTCTCTATATATATATATATATATATATATATATATATATTGTACAAAATATCATCGCATAAAAAGTATGATTATATGCATTTACATACCCAATGTAACTGAAAATGCAGAATTGTGCCCATTCTCGTACTAACAGACGAAGCCAGTAAATTTCAACTGAATCGTCTACGTTCAAGAATATCTGAAAACCAGAAAATTGAGGATTTGATCCATACATAATATATAAAATCGATTGAATGGTAAGTTGCAATATCAAATTCATACCACAATTTCTGCCATGGCAACAATTTGCATGATTCCTTGGAATTTTCTGTATAATACAAATAGAAGCAACGGATTTGGATGAAAAATTACCATCTAAATATGATATGTAGAAAAGGGTCTACACAGAATAAATGCATACTTGAGCATCTTGTATTTTGTGTGGATGGCATCGTGCATTGCTTGAACATCCTCCTCCATAATAAAATTGAGTTGTTCTTGCAATACTAGTATATTTTGATATATGTGGTGGAAGATCACATAATAGGAAATGAAGTAATTGAGCAGAAGTAGGACCTGGAGCAAACAAGAAGCTGGAACTAAGAACCAAGGGAAGTGAAATTGTGCAGCAGCAATCATTTCTTAAGCATATTATTAATTGCTGAAAGTTGGAGATGCAGCTTAGTAAACTCACAGAGAAGTAAGGTATGGATGCTCGGTAGCCAACAAGTGTCAAGTAAAAAATACAGCCAATTGAAGCGGTTGTTCGTCGTTCATAAACTGAAAGGTGCTCAGACATGATACAGTAACCATGGGAAATAAGTAAAAATGACACAACAGAAGCTGTCTGAAAGAGCACTCCAGTTACATATACCCCAAATGACATCCATAAGGAGCATGTCTGAATATAAAAGCATGAATACCTGCAATTGTACAATTAATAGGATTTCAGATGGGCCAAGAGAAAATCGAAAAGTGAAGAACAATTACGAAATTTGCAGATAAATCTCATTCCAAATCCGATTATGTGAAGATTTCATGTCGAAATTGATTACCGACAGTTTTATAATTAACCAAAAACAAAAACGAAACGGAAAAGAGTATCGGAAAATGCATTAAACGTACCAGAAGAGGAAAGATAAAGTTAGTTGCAACGCTTTTAGAAGAGGAACGGAAGCGAGTGACCACTGCAAGTTATTGGTCTGCTCTCGTGCAACAAGAATCCAGAAAAAAAGGAAAAGGAAGTCATAATCAATTCAAAATCCACTCCTCGAGCTACAAAAACGACGATGATTGAAAAATCAGAAGTAAACGCTAAATACACAATTCTCAAATAGCAATTAAAGAACTTATCCGTCAATTTTTAAGGCGACAATTCCTAATCTCTGTATCAAAACTAGGCCAACGACTAACTCGGAAATAAAGTACAGAATCAAAACAGAGACAAGTTAGAAAACTGAATAATCTAACGAATTAATCAGTACGATTCTCTCGGAAATTAAATAGTGGATACTGCATAGAGATCGAACTAAAACCTCCAAAGCCCGTAGGTCCGTTGAAAACAGACGTACTCTTTTAGTATGTCAGGGAAAGAGAGATGTGAAACAGACGTACTCTTTTAATCGAATCGAAATGGACAAAGTAGGATCCATCGATGCAGAAATTGAACATTCACAGTGTTCACTTCAAGAATTACCAAACAACTAAACGATTCATCAAAATCAACCAAATCATCTCTGAATCTAAACGAATTTCAAACCTCAGAAAGCTGCTTCAAGCACGCCATTCCACAGAATCAAAGATGAACAAACAATAGTGAACAAGAATGAAAGTATTCGAACCTGAAAGTGACGATTCTTGTAGGTGTTAACAGTCCAGGAGCAGGCGCAGAGGATCCAGATGAAGGAGAAGGCCAAGTAGAGAGAAGGGAGAGGGCGATACGACTCGTCGATTCCGATGGGATCCGACTCGACGACACTGTCGGACACGTTCATTGCAACGAATCAGAAGAAATTTCAAATAAAGATAGTATTGCTCTTTTTTCGGTCGTGGATAGAAGTGGGCATTTTTGCATTTTATATGCACCCATTCCAATAAATACTCGTTTCTGCATGCTTCTGATTACGTGGAATTTCATAAATAAATATAAAATAATTATTAATTATCTATTAAAATAATTATTTTAATTTTATATTTTATATATATATATATATGTAAAATAAAAATCTCTGCATGGAACATGATCCCGTGAATTCCTACCTAAAAAGAAAAAATAATAATAATAATTAGAGAAGTTCACTATTTTATTGTCGGATAATAAAGTAATTTTTGAGGCATTTGAAAATAATTTTAAAATAAAATTAAAAATTACTTAAAAAATTTTATTAGTCATAATTAATTATGAATTATTATGATTTTAAATTATTCCAAAATAATTTTTATTTTGTATAGCAACAATTTTGGACTCCAATCATTATTTTTTTAATATTAAAATGTTTATATATATATTCAAAATTGAAAATTGATGTAGAATATGCCAAAATTAGGATTAATTAAATAATAAAAATGATAATTTGAGATGACACACAGAAAATGTGGGTTGGTGGCATGATGTCGTATTAACTAATTCACCAAAATTTTCGGAACATCAACTCCATCACCTAAAGATTGTTATCTCCTCATTTTGTTTTTCATTTCAAAAATTAAAATTAAAATAAAAACCATAAATTAATTTAATTTATTCCATATTCAACAAATTAACTATTTTTCACCCAACATAATTAATTACTCAAAAAAAATATTTTTTTAAAAAAATTATAAGTTAATTAAATATTAGGGGGTTTTTATATGAACTAGTAACCCGATCAACTTAGACTATTCAACTCAAACTATAAATACAGGTTAGGTTATATTTTTTTCGATTTGGGTTGAATTAAAAATTTTGATTCAGTTTTTTAGTCAATTCAACCCGACTAGCTCGAAAGTAGGGTTACAATTCAACTCTATTCAACTTAAAATAAATAAATAAATAAATAAATAAATAAAAATATTAAATTTAAATCTATTGGATAAATATGATTTTTTAAAATAATAAAAGAAAATTTAAAAATGATCTTCATAGGACGTGCAGACCATTTTCCAGCTTTTGGTCGGAAAATATTTGGAATCTAAGGATTTGGAAAGACACACAAATAATAATTATATATCAATAAAAATTAATAAACTTCTGTATTTATTTATTTTTTTATTATTATTTTTTAGAAGAATAAATTAGTATTTAAAGTAATTATTTATATTCTATGAGGAAAAAAAAAGTAAAGATTATGGAAAAGAAAAATAATTTGAAGGTTGATATACAAATGTAATATTAGGTGAACGAACAGGTTCTAATGGGTTAGAATGCTTTGTTAAAGCAGTTATGGTGTGATTGGTAGAGTAGGATACCAATTTCAAAATTCCTTTATTTATTATTCAAAGAGTCAAAAGTTCTTTTTTTTTTTTTTTCACAATTAATTTAAAAATATATATATATTGGCTTTGGATTCTTCTTTGGTTGACTTTTGGATGGTAATAATTAGTTAGGTGGATTCATCCCCATATAATTTTCTCGTCCCAAATTTCAAGACATCATCGGCCCTCTTAGTTTGTTTGATTATGCTTATCGAGAATTACCCATGAGTCGTCTTTATCGTCACACCTTAAATATCCATTTATTTAGGTACTATCAAAGGGTATGGATTATCGCATCCGACAGTGTTCTCGAAAAATCCATTTTTAAAGGAAAACGTTCAAGACGCTTGTCTTACAATAGTCGCTCACTCTATGACATATGATGTTATAGGGTAACTCACTTCGGTAATGTGGCCCAAAAGTCTATGGTCTAAGGGTGGTGGCTCATCTTGCAATAGTCGTTATGTCGTAGGGTAACTCACTTAGGTGATATGGCCCAAAGGTGGTGGAGAACTAACACCATGTCTCCTCTATATTTTGAGGCATATTTGATATAGTTGAAAGTCATGGTTTTGACAAATTGTCATGCAGCCTCATCGTCTGTTGGGTGTTCATTTAATTTGGTAAACTTTTATCTTTTATAGAGACGGACTTAACTTCAAAGGCACATGTCGAACCTCATACCAAAATTCCGACATTTTGATAGTGTGAAATTGAAATAACGGGTGAAAAAAGTTAGAAACAAAAGCAAATCTCAGTGGATTTTGAGTATGGTAGCATTTAAGTCGTGAATGTTCGAGAGTGAATCGTTTTAATCTTAGAGAGGAAATGATTAGAAAATTTATTAAATGAGAAACGACACACCATGAAAGCCAATAGTAACAACAAAAAGATTCAACAAACCAAACAACAATTAGGTTCAAAGAGGATCAGAACAGCAACAATCCAACAACGGCAGCCATGGGGAAGATGATCACGGCCAGGTTAATGATCTGAACAGAAACTCCAGCATTGTTGGACGACGGCGAAGGAGCATCATCACCATAAGGTTCAGGCGAAGGGCCGATGAGATCTTGCAGCGGCGGCGGCGACAAGACTTGAACGAGGAGGCGTTGGCCATTTTTACAGTGATCCGGAAAGCCACTGATGAAGTAAAAGGCGCCTGCCCTGTCCAGCTTTATAACGCCTTTCCCGTTGTCGAAACTCAGTATTGGATCACTTGAATTGCAGTGATAATAATCCCATTTTTCAACCATCACAACTGAATCATTGTTGTATTCAAAAGCTACATTGGCGGCAAAAAAAAAAACAAAAAAACAATTGATTTTTTTTTTTTATTAAATCTTCCAAATTTGAGAAATCGATGATATTAACACAATGACTGACTTACAGAGAGAATCTCCGATTTGAAATCGGTTAATGGAGGCCCAATAATTGTAGAATTCAGAGTTGTTCGGCTTGGGAAGTTGCCAACCCATCTCGTCGCCGACTTTGAACTCAAAAGCGGCGGCGGAGACGGCCGCGGCCGCCATTATTGCAGTGGAAAGGATCATCATATAGTTAAGAACAGATAGTGGCGGTAAGCTTGTTGTCTTCATTCCGATCGAAGGGGCTTAGAAATTGGGTGTTTTGTTTGAAATAAGTAATTGGGGAGGGTTAATTTATTTAGGCTTGGGAAGAGAGTGGGCGGTGGTTTAAACTTTAAACAGTGAACGTGGGCGGTTATTTTGGTGAAAAATCAGGTCGTTTCCGACTTGGCAGGCTTTTGGGTTGGGCCGCGGCCCATGGAACAACACAATCATGGCCCATAAAGTCATCAGGCCCATTGTTCAGCCTCCATTTTCAAAGTTTTTTGTGACATTGTAGTATAGAACTATAAATGGTGAAAAAAATCTGTGTAAACACTGTCAACACCGAAACTACAGATTCCAAATGGGATAGAATTGAAAAGGAACTAAAACAATACTCATCTTCTTCTGCTCGCAACTGATCGACCAGATTACCCATCGATATCGTCCAATTCATTGCCGGGAATGACCGGGAAGAACCAGTCTTTGGAAGGCGAGTATTTGTGCTGCCTTCCAGCTCAGGCAATGGACTTTTCACTGTCACTATTAGAAATTTGTGAACTCGTGATAGAAATGGTTTTTGGGATTCATGTTTATGAGGTATTGCTGCTGCCTACCGCTATTTTCTTTTGGTTCTTCTTCATCTTCTCCTCCTCCTGAAGCTTGGTTCGTTTGGCGATTCGAAGGTCGATGATGCTTGGAGGCATTGGTTTGATCGAGCCGTGCAACTCGACCAAATGGAGGAATTCATTTTTTGTTAAACTTTTCTTTTGAATAAGATCATCAATCACCACATCCATGAGCTTCCTGTTCTGTTGCAAAATCTATAATACAAGAAACAAGGAGATTAAAATGTCGCATTATAAGTATGAAGAAATTTTGTATGATTGTTCGTTTGAACTTCCTAGAAAAATTATGGTACCTCTTTTGCACGCTCATAACAAACGTGTAAAATCCGCAAAGCTTCCAAATCAATATCCTGTCAATTCAAGATCCGTCACAGCAAGCTAGACAATGGCAAGGATATACTCAAAAATTCATTCCCGGCGTTTGCCAACCTAGTTTACTTCCAGATGTAAAATGAAGCAAGATGCAAACTCTTACTCGTCTGAGAAGGAGAATGGTGAGCCAAATAGGAGCGGAGCAAAAACGGAAGGAGAGGGCAAATGACTCCATTTTTTAAATATAAAAGGGTAAGAAAGGTAAGATTTTAAAGTTCTCTCTCACCAGTGTTCTAAAGTTTCGAAAAGTGAAAGATATGATCAAGGTTTTTTGACATGCGTCTACGGGATAGAGATTTCCACACCTTTATAAAAAATGTTTCGTTCTCCTCCCCAACCGATGTGGGACATCAGAGTCCACCCCCATTGGGGCCCAGCGTTCTCGCTAGCACTCGTTCCCCTTTCCAATTAATGTGGGATCTCACACTTACCCGGTAAAAAAAATTAATAAAAAAAAACTCGACCCTACCCCTCAGGCCAAAGATGGCGAGAATTTTCAGAAGAGTGGGATTTTTGGATGAACCAAAGAAAGGTGTTACAAGCCACTAACGTTACACATGGCACAAACCACAAACGGTGTGCATCCGTGTGTTTTTCAGTATGCTCTTCTTTTTCTCCTTTTCAGATATATAATCCTGTATTTACACTAACTATGGACAAATAATTATAGTAAAAGAGGTAAACCATACATTGATTCGATCTGCAACCCAGAAGTTAGACACTCCATAATGTTTCTCGGAAAGGCCTCCAAGAACAAAGGTTCTAGCAGCTGATCTGGCATTGTCTGCTGTTTCAACCCAGATTGTACTCAACTGTAATGCCGAAAAAGATTGCACCACATTTAGACCAGACAATTCTAGAAAAGAAACTACAAGCAAGTGGGCGTGGAGATTTGGAAAAGAATATGAAAAAATCTTCCAAACGAGGAATGCAGCAAGTTCACTGTTCAGCATATTATTCATTATTATCCTGAATATTCACTAAAATGAAATGATACTAAAATTCTTATACATGATACCCAAACAATAATTATCCCTGCGGAAAAATAAACAGGACAAAAACAATGTAAAAAAGGAAGATTTTGGGCAAACTTTACAATTATTAGCTTCTGTTTTTTTCCTTCAATTGACATCTCACATTAAAATCCATATTTAGCATGTTTAGAAGACATCTATCCTATTATAATTAGACAAGTATCCTACCTGGTCTTCCCCATACCAAAGCTCATCTGCTGCACGTGGTGCTAGTTGAACAGTTATATGGTCCAAGAGGGACTGGCGGCTGCATGAAATCATATGCATGAGCATGAGTAATAAATACAAAAAACAAATCAAGAAAGATTGTGCTATGCATTGTGAATAGAGAACTAATATGAAATATTAGAAAAACATTCCAGGTTTGGAAAAGTATTTGAACTGAAACCCGCAGTAGAAAATCATAATAATTATGCAGACTACAACTCATGAAAATGCAACACCCCCTCGACGACCTCTTACATGATCACAATAAGCTCATTGGTCCTCTCAACAGTGTTTGAAACATGCGAGAGAAAGAGTTAGAATGGCTAAAACAGAACTAGAAATAGAAATACACCATACGTGAGCATTCCTTCATTGAACCTCATGGCATCCATTTTCATCCGAACATAACCCAATTCCCTACCAGCTCGAGGTGCAATAGTGACCTGCACCAGATATAGTCATGTCCATATTGTAAATATATTGCAGGTATCAAGTTCAGAAAAACGGCATCTATATTTCAGTATAATGGCATAAAAGTAAGCAAAAAAAATCAAGATGAGGAGTTCTTAATAAAATTATCATATTTCCGAAACATTCTACTCCAGACATGCGGTTTTTTGTGTTGTTGGTACATACTGAAAAATCCTGGAAATTTTGTTTGTGCCAATGAGGACTCAAAAGTGAGTTATTCAATAAGAGATCACAAAAGAACCCCGATTATTCAAGTGAAAGTGTGCTACCGAAGTTTCAAATTGATAAAAAAAAATGTGCAGGGGTAATTCATTGATGTTACAACGATTGCTTTTGTTCCTTCCTAGTGTTAATTATTGAGTTCAACCACTCCACGAATATAGAACGTAAAGATGGTGAATAAGTCTACTGCATGAGAAAAAAAATTCAGAAAGGGAAATGGAAAGTTGATGACTAAAAGACCAGAGACCATACAAATTCAATATTTTTTAGATCAGGGAAGTTCATAGCAACAACAGCCATTGCTGCCTCATTAAGGGCAACTTGCTTCCACGTCTCTAAGCTTCTTTCCTTCTTATCCAACATTCCCCTTTCTTCTATTTGAGCAGCTTGCAATAAATCATCAGTTGTAATCTGCACAAATCAGAGAATTACTTCCTAAAAATAGGGCAATCTATTGCACGGACGAATTAAAAACATTTCAATCATAAGCCTAAAGTCACAAAAGAAGGGAAAAGAAAAATTAATAATCTGAATCGATAACCAGAAAAACACTAGTATTTTTTTCTTACTCGATTTCCTGTCCATTTCTATTGTAATTTCTTACTCCTATAACCACGGAAGACAGGATTTCATGGTCAGAAGTAAGTTTCCATACTTACAGTAGGTGATACCCAAAAGAAAGCAACTATGCAAACTCGAGATTGCGTTCAGGAAATAATATTAAACTTCATAGGGGGATTACACACATTTGAACTGAACGTACTATCCCAAAAGTGAAACACAACCAGATTCTCAATGATCTGAATATGATGAAATCTTTGCATTTCGTTTTCAGTAAATGATAAAAGTAACATGCTATTAGTCCAGGTAGCAAAGTACCTCGGTTCTGCCATCACGGATCATATTTAAAGCAGCGACTTCAACTATGTTTGCTAGTTCTGCACCAACCATTCCATCTGTCATACTAGCAACAGCCATGTAATCAAGATCGTTAGCCATAGGTTTCTTCCGTGCATGAACCTATAATCACGGAAGAGAAAAGAAACATATGAGTCTTGGAACCTCAAAGAACGTTGATAATACATTTACATATCATCAAGGCAGTGTGGAACCAGTGAAACAGCAACACTAGGAAAAATGATAACTATATTACCTTGAGAATTTCCAAACGACCAATAAGTCCAGGCTTAGGAATATAAATCTTTCGATCAAATCGTCCAGGTCTCACTAGTGCTGGATCAAGAATATCTGGTCTATTAGTGGAAGCAATAGTAATCACTTCGCCCCTGCCTTCAAATCCATCCAAGCAGACAAGAAGCTGCAATGCATAAAGCAACAGCAACACAGACCATTGAGTACAAAGCAGGACTTTACAATTCACAGTAGCAGGATTGATAATTATAGCCCAGAAACCTGATTAAGAGTAGCATCACGTTCTTGCCCTCCAGAACCTTTTATCAAACCACGTTCCCTTCCAACAGCATCTAGCTCGTCAATGAAAACAACTGATGGAGCCTATCATGACCAACATAATATTGAAATTAATGTTAATATGACAGAACATGTTTAAATTATACCATGTGTATTGAGAAACTTAGAGGATCAAGAAAGTGGCCAAAATTTATAGGTATAGAAACAGGAAGTGGAAATATTAAACAGGATAAGAGTTGGAACAGAGAAATCATATATTACATTAACCAAACACCACCAAGAAGAGTATCAACCAGAGATCAGTGGACAGTCTTGAGTGTTCAAATAATGGAGATGAACAAAGTAAATAATGAATTTAAATTTAAGAAAAGAAATAAATTGAGCAAATGAGGACAGACATACATTCTCCCTAGCTTCTTGGTAGAGAGCTCGAACACGAGAAGCACCAACCCCGACATATATTTCCACAAATTGAGAAGCGGATATGGAGAAAAAGTTAACGCCTGCCTCACCAGCAACTGCTTTTGCTAGTAAAGTTTTCCCGACTCCAGGAGGACCGCAAAGCAGTATACCACCTGATTCATAAACACTTGAGCCTTGAAGTATTTTGATGAAACAGTTTCAATTACTTTGTGTTTCCGTTTGAAGTAGGAAATTACTCATACATAGCTTAATCGACATAGAACCCAAAGAATTCTCGTTTGTAGTTCAAACAAACCATTAAGAAAAAGAGATGTTTAAGTATTATGATGAAGAATAAACACTTAAGGCTTGAAGTAGTATGATGAAACAGTTTCAATTACTTTGTGTTTCCATTTGAAGCAGGAAGTTACTCATACATAGCTTAATCAACATAGAACCCAATGAATTCTTGTTTGTAGTTTAAACATACCATTAAGAAAAAGAAATGTTCATCCACCAAAAGTAAATTCTGACCTGGAATCTTTACACCCCTTCTCCTGTACATCTCTCCATGTGTGAAAAATTTCACAATTTCCTCAAGCTCGAGCCTTATTTTCCCAAGCCCAGCGACATCCTCGAACTTCACATTCATCCCTCTCTCAAGATACTGAAGCGTCCTCTTTCCATGAGACCGACGAACTCGAGCACCCGACTTCATAAATTGCGCAGCCATCTTCAAGTAAGGATTTTGTTCACCTTTTCCTGGCTCAACATCATCATCCTCACCCTCAAGACCTTCCATCTCCCTCTCTAAATCCCGCATTTTCTTCCTCTCCTCTGCTTCAGCCTTTTCAATCTTCAATCGATCCTCATAATCCTTCTTTTGTCTCCTGTAGCTCAACACCACAGTTTGATAAAAAATCACAAAAAATAAAAAACCAAGGGCTGATACCACATTTGGATCCCGGGCTAACTCTGCCCAGAAATTTGCCATGCGTTGGTAGTTAATTCTAGCTTCATTTAATGATTGCTCCCGCTTCTTTCTGTTTGCCTCTCTCCTAATCCTCATATCCTCTTCTTTCTTCTGCATCTTCACTGTCTTTTCTATCATCTCTCTTTCCTGCCTCATTTTCTCCAATGCAGCAGTTTTTTCCATCTTGATCTCCTCCCTTATACGCCTAACCTCTGCAGCTCTCTTGGACTCCTTCTTCGGTTTAACAAAGGAATACAAAAACGCCGGTACTCTCGTCAAGAACCCCAAATACGGAGTAGGAACGTCAGGAAGCTTTACAGGAGGCGTATATGCATTAACACAAACAGAATCGATCCCCAGCTCATCCCACAGCACCCAAAACCTTCCATTACTCTCCACAGACGGCAACACCGTCCTCAACACCCTGGAATCCTCCAGAACCACCATTACTGGTTCCGGCCTCAGCCTCAAAAATCCATTAGGAACTTTGATCACATGCTTAACTTTCCCCTCCCTTTTCAAATCCAGGAGCTCAGTATAGGGAATTCGGTTGGAAACAGATGGAAGTCCCTGCGACCACGAAAGCAGCTCCTGAGGCGAAAGAGCGTCACCTTTTTTGGTGGAAGATTTCTTAGCACCACGTCTTCGTCCCTTCACTTCTTTGGAGGCGGTAGCAGCGAGGGCGTTGGACGTATGAAGAGAGGTTGAAACTACAGTGAGAGTTACAGAGAGTTTGAGTAAATTCAGCTTGTTCTTCTTGGAATCGTTATCTTCGTCGCTTTGAGAATTGGACGGAGATGAAATTTGAGACGATACCGAGGGATATGGGCGACGCCATGTTCGTGGCTTGAGGATCCGGAGTCTGGAATTGGGAAATGGAGAAGACGAATAAATTGAGGAAGAAAAAGTGTGAAACCGTTCGCAGGCCATCGATTGCGTTCAGCGGGGGAAATCGATGGAAGTGAAAACCTAAGAGAAAGCTACATTGGTCGAAGGGAAGGAAGTGGAATTGAGGCTGCTCCGGTTCCTTGCTTGCCGATTGCTCTGGTCTGCATTGGATAATCCAGGACGATGGAAGGGTTTTTCCAGGGACCCATTAAAAAAAATTAATAATAATAATAATAACAATAACAGGGAGAAAATTAATACTTAATTACGCTTATTTGAACTCTTTGTTTGTATTTAATTCTAAATTTTGTGTCTTTTTATTATATCTTAATTCAACAACGTCCGATTCAAATCTTCGATAAAAATAACACTTTCATCAATATGAATTATGAAAATTGTGAGAGCTTTTAGTTTTTATCTTTGCATGAACTTAAAAAATAATTATAAATTACAGATTGATACTTGAATTTTTTAATTTATGTATATTTAATTTTAAAACTTTGAAAAATACCTAATAAATCCTCAAATTTTTAACATGAAATACTCAAATTTTATTAAAGAAAATTGCTAATTTATTGAAAATAAATTTACATTATGTATCTAATAAAACCCTAAATTCAATTTTATGTAAAAAAGAATCAATGAATTTACAAGGTACAATTTTAAAAACTTTTTAGATATTTCTAAAATTTCTTCTCCCTACATCGAAGGAACAAACACACTAAAGGGTAATTTGAATCATTCTTATCAGATTCCATTAACATGTTTTTCTTAAAAAAAAAAAAAAAAAATTAAACAGGAAAAACATAGAATGAAACAGGCTAACATATATCACGCCAAGTCAATGTGTGTAAGCTCTCAAATTTGTAGGAATTTCTTGCCATGGAAAATCTATACGCCCACGGGAGAAGGAGCTACCTAACTTAGACTCCAAACATCAAATCCATGACCTTAGACACTAATGATTTGGATGGTGAAGCAATGGTGGTACCTCCTGACTGCCGTGCATAACTGTTACCATTTTGGAAGTTGTAGGGCCGCACAGGCCCTCCTCTCGTGGCGAGTTCTGCGGTTCGAGAAGATACCGGTGGGAGAACCATGAATCCTGGGTTATTTAACTTTTCATCTAGTGTCTGCCGGTCTATTGGATCCACAGGTTTCACACCAACAATTAGCATCCCATTAATTTGAATACCATTCTTGCTGAGAGCCTTGTGGGCACCAGATCGGTTCTGCACCAGCAACAAATTCGTAAGGCAAATAGTTTTTCTAAGAGGTTGAATATAGCATCTTCCTGTTTATATATGGATATCATTTCAATCATATATGCCTAATATAACATACATCAAACGTTATGTGTCGACTTTATGAGATTAATATTCAAACAAAACGCTCCGCAAGTGCCAATTAAATTTTAAACCTAATTAGCCAACTTGAGAGCTCAACTAGTTAAGGCATCTTAATCTTGGCCAAAAGGTACGAGCTTCGTATCCTCATCCCCATATTGTTAAACTAAAAATAATTAGAATCTTAAAACCTGATAATAATCTTTACTAGCAGAATACATTTTGCATGGTTATTCCCGAATAACACATTAACTGGAAGAGTCTAAAAGGAAAAATAAAAAAACATCAAACTGAGAAAACCATAGTCAAATAAAGCAGAGAAACAGAGGTAGATTGGTACCTTATAAAGAATGTGCATCCAATTAGCATCTCTTGGACCCGGAACGTGTTTCAAGATCTCACCGCACTTTTCAAATTCCCTCAAAACTAGATTCGTATCAGCAGGTGAGAATCTGAAGAAATAGGGCACAAGATTATACAAATAACATTTGAAATCAATAGCTGCATTGCCTCATATCAAATACTAAATCTTAACAATCTATCTTGCTTATGTCAAAATCAGCATAACTGCAATTGCTTACAGCAGCATTGCAACTGAGGTAAATCTAAAACAACTAGGGTACTACCTTACCTGTCAATATATTGAAGCATACTCATTCATTTCAACAAAAAAGATGCCAATGTAAAAGGACAGGCTTACAACACTTCCAAATTGAATATGTTTAATGTTAAAGTGATTATTAATTGAAGCAATGTTCAAAACATTAACATGTTCTCACGTGCAGGAGTTAAGTGTGGGTGTGTGTAAGAGAGAGAGATATGATCCAAGACAGATAAATCAAATAAAACTAAAACCAATTTCATCGTCTGCATCGTTAGTTAGAAAACTCCAAGATGGCCCAAAAGAAAAATGGACGATTGTTTGGCATGCAGATAAAAAATCCGTAATCAATAACACGTTACAACTCAAAGACAGTAAAGGAATCATTGAAATTCAACCCAGTACAAAGATCTCAGCTAACAATGACGAATGAAAGGGGGAAAGGGAATAGGGAACTCACCCATAGACAGTAACCCATTCCTCCTCGTTGAGTTTTCCTGCAGGCAAGCAATTCCTCTGCACCTCCGGTCTGGCAACTTCCCTTGGGGTTTGAAGTGTGATTAATGCACCTGGTTGAATCACACCTTCAACTGGTGAACTTTTTCCCTTATCTTCCTGCTCGCTGCCACCACCTTTTGGTGTTGACCACCAACTAAAGCCAGCTGATGCCTGCCGGCTTTGTTGGGCACTAATTGGTGTGTGTGAAGTGCTGGCATTTGACTTGCTTTTCATCGGCGAAGAGAAGTCATGGCTTTGGATAGGGGTCATCGGGTCTGATTTAACTTCTGGTGAAACAGGATAATCAGGAATCCCAGATTCAGGAGAAAAATCAGAGCCCGAACGGTCTTCCAATGTAAAAACCGGAGGAGGGGGTAGATCTGAGTTTCCAAAATTCTCCCGCCATAAAGCAGAAACAGCAGCTGCCTGGCCTGGAGTTGAAAATTTCCCTCGGCGCGTCGAAACAGGAGATGCTAAATCTTGGTAGAACAACGACTGCCTCCCAGAATTGGAAGTTCTATGCACAGTGGTGTTCATGACTTAGAAGAGAGAGAGATCTCAACTGCATACGAACATATAATCAGTTTTACCTCGAACAAAATAGATTTGATAAATGAACGTTAAATTCAAACTAAACCGCTAAGCAATCTCTGTACAGAGTAGACCATCACATGGTGTAATAAAATCTCCAAGTTCACAGACGAGTAAATTCAATTAAAGAACTAGCAGATGCAGTGGGGAACCTAGGTTCCATAACGAACTCCACTAACACGATTCTGAGGAAGCAGTCTAGAACTTCAAAATAAATATAGAAACGATAGATAATGAAAGCTCACAAGAATAAAGCTCTAAAAAAAACCCAGATAAGCCATTTCGAAAAATTTACAGCCTCGATCTACGTTCATCCGCTGGGAAAACGCGGGAAATATCAACTCAACCAAGCTTGAGCTTCCGAAAATTCTCAGAAATCAAACAAGTAGAACTTCAAATTCACAAAATATCATTCCATTCATCCGTCGTGATTCTCTCAAAAATACAAATAACACAATAGTGCAATTCCAGTCTACGAAGTTCAGAAGGGAAAAGGCAATGAGAAAATGGAGGAGAGATTAGAATAATCACCTTCAGAAACTGCTCGAGCTCTGCTTCTAACTACTCGATTGGATTGGAGAATTTGAGATGCGAGGGGCCTTGTGAATTTGATTTTCGATTCGGGATTTTTCCCTCCCGAAAGTAGTTTAGAATGAGACGCCCAAATCGAACGAAAAAACGTAAGAAAGTTTGAAACCCTAATCCTCAAACTTCGTCCAGTGGGCAATACGGTTTGGCGGTGCGATTTGGAGTGGACATTTCAAATTAAAAAATTTCTCTTATTTATTTATTTATTTATTTATATATATATATATATTCACTTTTTAATTTTTTTTTCCCCCTAAACTATATAAAATATATTATTTTATTTTAAAAATACCCTCAAACCCTTTTAAGTCCATGATGATCTCTCCTTTGAAAAAAAAAATTAATACCTTAATTTTATAAAATAAATTTTAAATACTTTTATCGTTAGTATATGAACGAAACCCGACAATACCTCATTTTTACCATTTTTCAATGCAATTAATTCATTTAAAAAAAATATTTTTTTTAATCGGAGAATAATACGTGTAAATTAATTAAATTATAAGATCTGGTAATTATTAATTTCAGCTTACATAAATGATAGTCGAAATCCTTCATAAACAAAAGCATCCAATCTAAAATGGAGCTGAAAGGGGTTCCTTAAGCAGCTGCAATTGATTTGGGGATTCAATACAAATGTAAGAGCATTGGCATCTTCCTCTTTCTTCTTTATAATCCCCCACTAATGGCGGCGGCGGCGGTGGCCCCGTGGCCGACGACAACGGCGACGACAATGGCGGCAACAATGGCAACTCTCCTCCTCCTTCAATTATATGGTTCATCGGCTTGAGTCGTTCTACGATCTGTACACTCGAATTAGTGAGAATAAATCATTTTAATATTTTTAATTAGTTAAATTACATGCTAGTTTACTTCTTTGATTTTATTGGTATATTCTAATGGATTAATTTTTACAAATTTTTAAAATATCTATTATTCAAATTTTATTCAGAAAATTATTTAAAATTTAGACAGATTTCTTAAAACTAAATAAAATTCAAATCTCTAAGAATTAAATTTATAATTTAATATATGGGCTTTTTGAATTTTACCTAAAAAAAAAAAAAAATCGGAAAGTTCAAATATACCCTTAATTTTTTTAAAAAAAAAAACTTAATTTTAGATCCAAATATTTAATATTTTGTTTCAAAAATACCCATAAATTTAAAAAAAAAATTAAAAATATTTTTTTATATTCAAAAGTCCCAGACTATTTTTTTAAAAATAATCTATAAAATATTGATGAATTTATTAAACTTTTTTTTTTTTATAAAAGTAAGGTTGGTAAATGATATTTTTAAAATTTTATGCGTATTGTTTAAACATAATAACAACGGGAATTATATTTTTTAACTCTTTAAAAATGCTTTTAAGAGTATTATTATTATTATTATTTATAAAAAAAATCATTTTCCAAACACTATTAAAACAAATTACTAATAATTTTTATCTAAAGTTAACATTAATAATATTTTATAGATTTTTTTCGAACCTTATTGTTAAATTTTTTTAGTTCAACCGCTATTTTTATTAATTTAGCCTAAGTTCTTGAAAAACCATACGATCATTCGATCATTATA